AAAAAAAAAAAAAAAAAAAAAAAAAAAAACGATGATCATGTCAAAACCGAAACGCTTTCATACTTTATATTTAAGGAAGAAGTGCCAAGAGAAAATCCGAGTGAGAGTAATTTATTAAAAACCCACATGCAAGAAAGGCCATCATCAAATTAGAAAAAAAAATCATTTAAAATTCAACAAGAGGGCAACTTCATTATTAAGTTGCTTGAAAGTGGACATAAAACAACATTATAACTACAAACTAGAAAAACAACGGACTCCAGGTATTCGCTGAAGGATCCCACGTTACAGATGTTACTGGGATGCTTCTACACGCCAGAAGAAGTCACATCAGACCGTTCGATTCCGAATCTCACTTAAGGAGATGAGCTGCTCAGAGCTACTACGGATAAAAATATGTAAAATATCGACACACTTTATGCAGTACTGCCACGCAAGCAGCGAATCGTTCTGTTGGTTCACAGTAGCAGCACTGCACTCGTCACCAATATGCACATAGTTTTGCGTTGTTATCTCAACACAGGCATTTCTGTGGACAATTTTTCGCAAATGATCCATCATTGGCAACTCACAATTTGTTGATGGACACTGATAAGCCCTGTTGAAACAATATCTAAAAAACGCATAAAAACTCCAGATGCAGCGACGATTTTAGACATAAAGCATCACAAATGGAGCGAAAGCATCAGAAATTTCAGCTTTCTAGCTTCATTGATTGCCAAGTTGAAAGTGATTTATAAAAATGTGAACACAGACATACAACCTCTCGTCAATATGTGTTTTTGCATTTGCATAAGTGTGCAAAAATGCATAAAAACCTGAACTTAAACAAGAAACAAACATTTCTCGTGCATGATTTTTTAAGATTAACCAACATCGAGCTCGCCACTAATCGAAGCAGCACTTGGCAAACATAAACCGAAAAATTTGCTGGATGCACAAGTGGAAAACCAGACTACGAAACAACAGCCACTCCAGATATTCTAGACAGAGAAGACAAAAGTCAAAATCTCTCCATGTCCACTTCCCGAGAGCGTTAAGGCATTTGGAAGTACTCCAAATAGCAGCACGTGTTAACAGCAATCACCCATTGACAGGATTGAAAAAAACACGAAATTATCACGAAAAAAAAAACCACAGGTCTCGGACAGATTGAAAAACCGCTGGGTGTAAATCATTTCTGGACAATTAAAAACAAACTTTTTCAAGAAATCGCCCAGTGACATATCATTCACTCCATAATATTCCATATTCACAACCCATGGCCGAACACAGAATAACGGCGCATTTGGTGATTTCGGACAGTACGATCCAAACAAAACGGATATCTGCTGATGCGCAAACGGGTCAAAGACATCTTCACTTTTTTCAGTGCCATTCTCTTTCTCCCTTTAAATATTATCCGTAAAATGAAACAGGCTGAAAAGTTTTTTCAGTCCTCAAATAGCAAGTTTAATAAAAACTCCAGAGCCAGGAATCGGTGGAAAAATCTCCTTCTGTCATATGTAAAACAATGAAATGGCTACATGAAAGCACTGTGCCACCAGTATTCGAAAATCGCAAGTTTCTGCGAGCGGCTTTCACTTCGAAGACTTAGCTCATTGTTCGTTATTTGGAAGATAAACTAGACGTGATTCGCCTACACACTTGGACCAGTTGCCATGACACATTATTTGGTCTTTTGGTTGTAAATCTGACAATCTTTGCAAACGCTTTGAAAATCGCTTGATGTCAGCCTACAATAAATCCTTTCATTCGTTTGATTTGCTGAGGAAGTACCGACTCCACAGTTCTCAGTACAAGCACTTGGAATAGTCAGAATCATTTCGAGGTGTCTTCAGTGTGTGTTGAAATTAAGATGTAAACAGAAAAGAAACAAGAAATACAGAAATGTTTTCAAGAAACACTTCATGCGATACAGAATTTACCAGCAAAGGCATGGTTGAAACAACAAAATGCTCACCTCGGCAGCTTCGCGTGATGCTCGTGAACATTACGGCGTAGAATTCGGCCAGAGAAAGCTCGGAATGACGCAATGTTATCCTCATTCACTTCAGTTAAACAAACATCTCTAATAAAAGGATGCCGGACATACTTCTTTGGTATAGGTTTCTCTTCCACACACGTGGCAGAGCACTTCCTAAAATTTCAAAACAACGAAAAATCAAAATATTTCGATTGTTTCGGAATACTATTAAAATATAATACATGAGTGTAAAAAGTTGTTAGGATGAAAGCAGAGCAGCGATGACTGTCTATGCTGGAGAGGGCAGCGGAGCAAAAGATAATTGTAGCACCATTTCGTGACTATTACATAAGCAGTCAGACTCTCTGTTACAAGAAAAGTGTAGATATCACTGTGACTACGCAAGAAATTAAAATCCGATGGGCATAACACACTGTTCGCTTTGGTGAACACAGAAGCAAATCGCCTAACAATGAATGGTAAATGTCCACTTTGGTGGCCTCTGAAAAGCTGACGGCACGCTCCACTGAACAAGTGGTAGTTCTTGATCACGAAACTCAAGGCCGGGAAGAGTTACTAAGCCAAGCAAGCATTACGTCCCAGTTAAATCAGCATAACAAAACTCCGCACTGAGTGTTCGGACGGTTTTGATACTCCCGGCACATTATCAAAAAAAAAAAGGAGTTAGCTGCCTTTTATAGTAATACTTCAAATAACTGCCGTTTCAAAGTTACGTTTCTCTGTTCCATCAGTGCAACAGTTGACAGCTTCTATATGCATTGAAAAGCAGTCCTCAGAAGCAAATTAAATCTAGCTGGCTGTTTTCTTAACTACGGTTCTTTATAAAATATAGAACTGATACAAACTTTGAAATATCTCAAAGGCACCTTAGTAAAACTGAAATTTTTTTCATGTGTTTTTTGCCTTCTAGCAGCTGTACAAGAGCATATTTTCATACCCCTGTGTTTGTGTATCCGAATGCATTTTTAGCCGTCGTTTTTCAACTGGAGAATTACAAAAGCTGATATTTTTGGAAGAATGTTTCCTGCTCACGCGTAACACCGCAAATTCAAATTTAGCCTTCATGTATGTTTTGCTTTCATGCTCGGCCATGTGAAAGTTTTGGTGCCAAAATTAATAAACTGAGCCACAGAAGCTAGGAAGCTAAAATTAAGAAGGTTACGTGCCACTATGAGGCATAGAAAATTTTGTATCTTGCTTCTTCATGTGCCTACGCTTCACAGCAAATGCGTAAAATAAAAAAAAAAAAAAAAAAAAAAAAAAAAAAAAAGGGGG